TTCATTTTTAATATATAATTCATCTTAGAAAACTCTTTATATATATATATATATATGATACAATGATAAAGACAAGAAGAAAAGTATATATAGTATAAGAACAATTTAAATACAATGCATCGTTACCATAAAAATATTTATTCAATATAGATTGTACAAAGACAATATAATTTAAATATTAAAATTATCAAAATAGACTTAATGAAACATTTTAATGAAGCTATTTATTATGTTAATTTGTTCATTAACGAATATTTTGGTAATTTAAATATTAAACTCTACTTTTATTGTGCAATTGAAAAACCATTAATCTCTCATTATGATGACATGTAGAATCTACCATTATCAAATCAGATTTAGTCCAATAATATTCTCTCCCTTACCTTCACCGGTAATCCGCCTTTCATCCTTAGAGTTAGAGACAAAAGATGCCTCCCAGTCTTCTCCTTTTCCGGCACCTCCACCGAGAACCTCTCCATCACGGCTGCGGCTATAGACTTCATCTGAATATACGCCATATCCTTACCCAGACACATTCTCGGCCCCGCATGGAACACTGGATACCGAAATGGGCTCTCTTGCTTCACAATTCCCTTGTCGTCCAGCCACCTTTCCGGACGAAATTCATAGCAATCGTCACCCCATATCTTCGGCATCCGCCCCATTGCATACGTATGATAAGCTATGAACCACCCTTTTCCGATGAAAGTCCCATCGGGAAGAACTTCATCCTTCAGACATGCTTTTATGTCGATTGGTACCGGCGGGTACAGTCTCATTGTCTCAGATATCGCTGCATGGAGATAGTTCATGTCGTGGAGTTCCTCCATACTGTAGGAATCGCCAATTCTTTTCCTATTCCGTCTCCGAATTTCCTTGAGCTCCTTTAGTATGCTCTGTTCCACTACAGGGTTGAAACAGAGTAACCAAAAGAACCAGGACAAAGCAGAGGATGTCGTGTCTCGTCCGGCAAGAATGATACTTATGATGATATCTCTGAGAAACTCCGGTGAGTTTTCATCTTTTTCGATGAACCGTGATAACAAGTCGTCTTCTTCATTGTTATCTGCTCCTGATTCCAATCTGTTTCTTATAATAGTGCCTGCGAATTCGTGGACAATAGAGATTGATTTCATCAGAGTTGCTTCAGACCCTACATTCAGAGCCTTCTTCACCCTCCAGAGGAAAGGGACAGCATCCAGGAATCGATTGGTGCTGAGTGTGGCGGCATCTTTAAACGCCCGCATGAACTCTGTGCCAGTTTTCCCGATACCGCCGAGACAACCAGGGTCGAAATTGAAAGCTAATTTACAGATATTATCGAACGCAAATCGCTCGAATATATCTTGAAAGTCAAGAATCCGGTGGGATTTTACGGCTTCTGTCAACATCGGAATCAACCTCGTGTAAAGCTCGACCCTGACGTTCTCCATGATGAAGATTCGGAGCGATTTCGTGCTGAATTCATAGCTGGCTGTCTTCCTCTGTAACCTCCACAGCTCACCGTTGGAATTGAAGATTCCTTTGCCAAGGAAATCCTGGAGGAGAAAAATGAACCGTTCGCCTTTCGGGTAGTTCTCGAAGTTGGTCTTGAGGATGTGTTCGACGTTGGCTGGATTAGCCGTAACGACGCCACGGATATTGCCAGCACGGTGAAAGACGGAGGTGTTGGTGGGGCAATCGCCGAGGACTTGGGTTGTCCAGTCGAGAAACCGGTTCCGGTTTCTCAATAATTCCGGCAAGGAGCCGATTAAGGGGTAGTTTTTGAAGCCTTTATGTTGGGTTCTACGGTTTGAAGTGGAACGATGGTAGTAGAGAAACAGGGAAAGGAGAGGTAAGAAGAGTAAACATAGAAATGATAAAAACGCCATGAATATGAGCTTTAGAAACGGAAGGAAGCTTTGAGACGGGCTCATAAATTTTAAAGATGATAATGGAAGCTAGTGACATTGGAGATGTAGAATTCCATTTCTTTTTTTTTTTTCTTTTTTTTTTAATTTTAAATAATAGAATAGATAATAAAAATATTTTTTTTATATATATATTTAACGCACTTTTATATATTTTAAGACCTAAAATGCAATATTTAATATGTAAATTAAATGAGACCATTATTTTTCTTATACTTTGTTTCTCTCTATTTATTATTTCTTTTAGCTTGATTTGACCAGTCATGTTTTGATTTGCTTCTGTCTTGAGTTACCGTATAAAAAATATGGAAGTTGATAAAATATCTCAAGTTGGGATAATTTGACTAATTTTAATAGAGATTATATCATGCGCAATTGTTTCTTTTTAGAATTTTTTTTATTTTGTGTCCTAAATGCATTTTTTTGTAATTAATATATATAAAATGATAAAAATTAATTTAAATTTAATTAATTAATTAAATAAAATTATTTATGTAACAATAATATTAAAATAAATTTTAATTTTTATTATTTTTTGTGTAAATTAATAATTA